GTCACGGGCAATTTAGCCTATAAGAGGCCTCCGTTTGCAGCTTGGTTGTTGAGAAGAGGTGATAAGGAAATAATGGGCCTTTATGTAAAAGTTTCAAAGTCCTGGGAACTGGCTGGAATAAAAACTTCAAGGGGTTTTAGAAATGTACAGAAAGTGATAGGTGTTGAGCACTGAAGCTCGGCTGTCAATTGGTCAGTAGTGGTCAGGGAAGCTGAGGGTCAAGAGGTCAGAGAGGGCGGCAGGAGTTGCAACCAACTCTGTGAAAAAGCCTCTAAAATCAAATACAAAAAGGAAACAGATCCTCACAAGTGTAACAGCATTACTGTGCACTGATGCCCAAGTGAACGCAGTCACGAATGTTATACCATGCCCAACCACTTTTCCTGCAAGCAATTTCACAGACAACCTGCCTCACTCTACCCTATCTTCCTCTTGAAGTTCTCTCTCTATGTGGATGTTCTGTGATCATACAAAACTGTAACATTTCTAATGAATGAAAACATAGTAAACAGCAAAAAAACAACCCATAAAACAGGGGAAAATGAACATCAAAAAGTATCCTGAATATACAAAGACCGATGCAGATCAATAAGAACCCAAATATCCCATTTGTGAAATGGACCAAAAACACAAACAGAAAAAAAATGCAAACGAGCAGTATACATAAAATCCAACAGGTACAAGTAACAATGGGGGGGGGGGGTTCATCCATCCGAAAATGGTTATTAAAATCCATGCTGAGGAGTGTGAAGAAAGGAGCACGCCGTGCTGGGCCAGTGTTAGCATAAAGAGGTTAAACCCTTTCTGGAGAATGGGCTGGCCAGGTGCACCAAAGCCTGAAAAACCGCAGGCCTTGTGACCAATGATCCCTCTTCGAAGACTTTAGCCTAATGAAGATAATCAGCTCTCAGTTATGAAACGTGACCCATTCAGAACAGAAAGTGCCCGTTCAAATGTTCACAGTCTCCACAATTACAAGAACAGAAGTCCTATCATGAGAAGGAATCAGATCATGAGTACACAAGGTATGGGCAAAGTGCTTCCTTGCTCAGGTCTTTTCTTGTTTTACAAATTTAAATTTCAGCTCAAGTGTGAAAATGATAAGCATGAGACCTTTTAAAAGTAAGTTAAATGGCTCTATTGCTTCCTTGATTGTTTTATACTGAATTTAAGTCCTCTACTTAAAAACTTCTTATTTTATACACACGTGTGTGTCAGTCAAGATGAATCCAACATCAAAGAGGATCCAACTGTGGCATCGGGCGACATCTCCCTGACCCCATGTGCCTTCACTGAAGGAGAGGCAGCTGTCTCGGGAGCTTAGTGTCCTCATCCCCAAACCTAGACTGCAGACTGCTAGGTGTCTCACCTGGTCTTTGTAAGCTCTCAATAAAGGGCAAATGGTAGTACCATCATCGTTCCTATCACAGGGAACAGTCACTTCTCCTTTCTTTTGATTCTATGGGTTTTGAAGCACCAACACACCTACCACCCAGGAATCTAACCTTTTTGGCTTCTGTACTGCAAAACCTCACCTGGACCTCTAAAACTGAATGCCTAATAGAGTCGGACCATATCACTACAGGGCTAACGTTACGGCAGTGTATACGTAAGTGCTGCCAGATAAGAAGAGATCTGAGGAGCTGGAAACCAATGGAAAGAATTCTTGGAGCTGCCTCATGTTAGGCGTGCACGTTCTTGCCTCTACCACTGGAAGACACTTCCTATTCTCAATGCCAGGCTCTCTCCACGGCTTCTGGCACACTGTGTGTGTTCATTAACAACCGTCACCAACCATCCCAGGCTCAGTCTCTCAGATTACAAACTGCACCTGCTGCCAATCAAAAATAGCCAGAACTTGCTTCTGTACATTCCTCAGTTTGTTTCCATTTCTCCCCAGACATTGAGTTTTGTCGGGCATAACAAGCAGAGTGTCACTTTAATAAGAAATTGTGTTATAACAGAGTTCTACTAAGAATTATACTGAAATAATCATTACATTCAGGACCGCTGATTTAGAAACCTAAAATAGATTGTGATTCAGTTTCAGCATCAATGTCAAAAGATTCTCCAGAGTGCTTTAACTTGAAGAGACATGAGGTAAAGCATCAACAAACTTGGGCTTACCCTTAGGGCAAAATATACCTTTTAAAATTTAGCAAATATCTCCCTTACTCATGAGCAATTTGATATCCTACTAACTTTTGTCTAAATTCATCCTCTTTATCAACTTTATAAAGTCATATGCCTTAAGGCTCTCTATTTCTAATAAATTTCCAACGAAATGAAAAATAAAAATCCTGAACTATGATACTATCTCTTGCTATCTGACTATCTATAATTGCTATTATAGGGGTAACATGATTTGAGTTGCAATATATTTTGATGGGGTCCAGAATATGCCATTGTGGCCTAAAAACTATTTTGAGCTGAAGGCATTTGAGTTCCCGAAATCTCCTACCTGCCAAAAAGAAAGGCCTCTCAAAAGAACTCAATTGTCATAAATCCCCTCCCTAGAAGCAACCAGGGAAGACTGACTCTTATCACCAGAGATAAGTCTCCAGGCCACACTGAACCGCACATTGACGCAAAACTGTCATATCTCCCAGCTATTCTCTAAGAACCATTTGTCTTTCCAAGAAGTTATTTGTTTTCCTAAAGGTGTCCTTTCTCTCCGTCCCCTTCTATTATTAGGTCATTTGTTTTCCCATAAGTGCCCTTCTCCCCTCCCCTTCTCCTATGAAGAGGGTATATACGCCACAAATCCTAACTCCTAGCCCCTATGAGTCACATTTTTTTTCTGTGATTAAATCTGATTTTTCTCTCTGCAATCTATCTTTTGTCAGTTTAATTTGCAGGCCTCTAAATACTGAACCTAAGAGGGTAGAGAAAAAGTTTTTCTTCTCTGACAATTTAAATCTGTGAAATACACTGTATTATGAGTATATATGAGAACCATATTAACTTTCTTATTGATTACAGTCAATTACATGATTAACATTTAACATTTCCTCTTTATGTCTTCCTCTTTCCTCACTTTTCTTTAAACTTCCTCTTAATCTTTCTTGTTTCTAACTTTAACTCCTGCAACTGTTTTCAAATATTATCCTCATAAGTATAATTTAGCAGAAATAATTTGTTTCCCTTTCTACTTCTGATAAATCAGAACATATAATTATTAAGTAATACAAATGCTACTCACTTTTTGTCAGTTTATAAAAACCTCTCAAGTACAATCAAGCTAAAACATCATGTTGATTAAATAAAGCAAGTTGCTATTTCACCAATTACTGAAAACTGGAAGCATTCTGAAACACAGAATTAAAACACACATACAGTCACTTTGTACAAAACAATTACCCCGCCCTCCTCATGAGTTCGTTGTTTTAAAACTGATTTGATGATAAAAGCAAAATGACAAACCAAGATAATTAGTCCAACCTGGCATAGAGATATACACTTTGTAGCAAAGTATGCAAAATAAACCACAGGGACAGCCCTACCCCCCGGCCCCCCGAGAAAAGCCTTTCTGTGGTCCTATGGCCCCAACCCCTCCCTTGGCATTTGGTTCTCTGAAGTTAACCTCAATTAGCTAACCTCCTATGGCTCGGAAGCACAGGGATGCTGGTGCCCACAATTAAGACACTTTGCACACAGCAGCCTTGGAGACACTATCACCCTGCTGTGCAAAAACAGCAGTATGTGCAACCTGCCTACTGCTTTACTGAAAAACCACAATCAAGGGTCCATGGCAGGCTGGACTGCCGATCCCTGACTAGCTTGTCAACAATCTATATTTATTTTCTTTTGCAGATGCAACTGAGCTTGTCCCTCCTGGAAATATCATTCAGCATTATTCAATATTTTGTTGAACCTGTTAACCACCAAAAAACTAAAGAGCACATAAGTCCCCAGCAGAAATCCATAAAGGCTTGGAAAGTCCCCCTCAGTGTGGCAGCATCTGCTCCAGGCTGTCGGTCCAATGAGGCCCGCCTATTGCTGAGACATTTGGGGGTACTAGCAGTTCTCCAGCATGCCTTTAAAACAGTGAGAACCAGGGATTATCGAGGCCGTGAGCAAAGGACGCTCTGGCAACAGCAGGGTTAAACTGGTACAACCTTTCTATAGGGCAATCTGTCAGCATGTATTAAAAGTCATAATAATATGCATATCCTCTGACATAGCAAGTCCACAGGTAAGAATTTATCCTAAGAAAGTAATTGGATAATGCCTAGAGATCAAACAATAGCAGAACCTAAAGATCAAACAATAGCAGAATGATCAAATGCAGACATATGATGGCACATTATGCATGTACCTCGGTTGTAGGCTCCATCGGGGTGAGTGCAAGAGGCAACCAATCGATGTGCTTCTCTCACATCGATGTTTCTCTCTGTGTGTCTCTCCCCCTCCCTTCCACTCGCTCTAAAAATCAATAAAAAAACATCCTCAGGTGAGGATTAACAAGAAAAAAAAGTGGTGACACACCGGTAAATTTCTGGCTCTGCTAAAATGCCCACAAAATATTGTATGTGTAAAAAGCAGATTATCCTATATAATAAAAGCCCAGTGACCAAATGGCAGAACGACCAGAACAATTGGTCAACCAGTCACTATGACACACACTGACCACCAGGGGGGCAAACGCTCAACACAGGAACTGCCCCCTGGTGATCAGTGCACTCCCACAGTGGGAGCACCGCTCGGCTGACTGGGATGAGTGGCTGTTCCTCAGTGGGCTGATCCCCGCAGGCCACGCCCCCACCAGTGCATGAATCTGTGCACCAGGCCTCTAGTAAAATATATGATCCTCTTTTTTCAAAAACTGTCTGTAAGAACAAAAATTTTAAGACTACAAGAATATATATCAAAACGTTAACAATGGTGATCTAACTGGTGGGATTATGTGTTTGACTAGAAAGTAAAAAAGAACTTTGCCTATCCCCTTTATTTTTTTTTAATTTTCTTCCATAATGCCCATTTTATGACTGGTAAAATAATGAAATGACAAAATATCTTTAATTGAATCAATCCCTTAAAAATATTAAAGAGCTGGTGATAAAAAATCAATCAAGACAGTTTTTTTTTCCCCTAAAATTTCCCTTTCGGTACCTTCAAGTTCTTTAAATTGCTCAGAGGAGGATTAAGCTGCAAAGAGTTCCCAGTTTTATCTACTGTTTTCAGTTTTTTTACAGATGATATATATTCTTGGACTTGAAGGAAAGCTAACATCAAAGGTTTAGTTTCTAGAATTTAAGCTCAAGTCCTGCAACAAGTAAAGAGAGAAAGAGTAAGGGCTGTGAATAAAACACCATTAGCAGAGCACAGAATAGTTCTTACTATAATAAACAAAGTGCACAAGATGAATCTTTGATGAATTAGGCAATATTTTCTATCAATGCCCATTACAAAGGTGGATTTCAAAGACAAGATCAAAAGTAGCAGATATTTTCAAGATCCAACAAAAGTAATTTCTAGATAAGGCAAGAAAATGTCTTCCAAGACCACAATGGTGGTCTATATACTTTATACCCTCAATAAATATTCCTTGATTAGAAAATAAACAGCAAGCACTCTTCATTTTCCTTTCAATAGATATAAGCCTAAGTTGGCCAAAACATATATATATATATATGGTCTATAAGGAACAGGTGGTGCTCTAAAAAGCTATTTGTAAACAGATATATGGAATTCAGAGCACATATTGCCATCAAAACAATGTTATGATGGTTAGTAACTCCCAACCTGGCCCACGAAGCCTACTTAGTCGTGAGAACCATCCCACACCTGTGTTTCAGGTGAATGGAGCTAAGTGAGGAAACCCATAATGCTAGGGGAGTAAGAGAGGCTCTCCTTCACTTGGAACCAAAGGCTCTCAATTCAGTCCCTCTCCACAGAGGCTCTCCAGCTAAGAGACCTTCTGGTTAAGACCCTCTTCCCTGGGGCTGCCCAGGTCCGAATAAGCAGTCAGTAGGGGAGGGAAGGTTTAAAGGCCCTGCCCCCATGCCTCCAGGTTAGATAACTCTGCAGGGCCATCCCAGCTCCAGAGCTCCATTATCACTGCATCACAGTTCAATTCCTCCCCCTGCCCTGCTCCCCTCACTCCGCCACTAGTAATGATGCCAAGAGCAGCCACAGTAAACTACATGTCAATCTCCATCTCAGAAACTATTTCCAGGACCTAAGACAAACAGCTAACATTTAGTAAGCTCATTTTATAACTCAGACATTGTTTATAGACATACATACTTACATATAAGTATGTAATATGTATTACATACAAAACAGGTAAATAGAGAGAGATATCTTACTGTATAAGTATGGGTAGGCACTATAACCCCAGCTTAAATATGCAGAAACTGAGGCTCACAGAAGTCAAATGACTTATTCTAGACCACGTGGGAAGTAATTTGAGGAGCCAGGATGTGAATCTAGGTCTACCCAATGCAAAGCCAATCACTATATTATAAACTAATTCCATTTCCTAGAAAGAGTTGTTAAATGAGTTGAGGCAGACTCAGCAGGCCAGGGGTTATGGTGGCAGGCAGGAGTGAGTGGTAAACCATGGCCATTCAGAAAACAGAAACTTCCAAAGGATTTGGGATCCAGGCCCACTGAAAATGGGATACTATGATCAAGGGTTCATATATTTTTAGGCCTGAAGCAAAAAAAAATGGAGATCTAATGGAACCAGAATTCCAGAATGAAACTGCATAGTCATAATCAACTGTGTGATTACTACATCCTAAAAATGATGACTGGCAAATCCTGTCCACCTACAATCAAAGTATGTGCAGACAGATGTTTACTATGTAGGAGGAGGATAGTGCTTTTACTATAATCCCTGCCAAAAGCTTCATAAACATAAATAAACAGTATCTAAAAATGTACTAACAGCCCTGGCCTATGTGGCTCAGTTGGTTGAAGTGTTGCCCAGTACACCAAAGGGTTGTGGGTTCAATTTCCTGTTTGGGCACATACCCAGGTTGTGGGCTCTATCCCCAGTTGGGGTGCATATGGAAGGCAACTGATGTTTCTCTTTCATATTGATGTTCTCTCTCTCTCTCTCTTTTTTTCCCTCTGAAATCAATGAAAACATATCCTCCTGTGAGGATTAAAATAAATAAATATACAAATGTATTAATAAATTTCTTATTGGGATACAAAATCCTTACTATTAATATTCAACTTATCCAAGATGGAAAATTGCAGAGGCCTTTCATTCAGCCGCCACCCTTCACCCCATTCCTCTGGGCCTGCGAGGGGGCCATGCTGGGGCTGCCTGGGACCCCGGCCTCGCTCTCAAACTGCGTCATTTCTTCCCTGTGTGTCAGGGTTTACCAGCTGTCTCCCCGCCCCGACCGTAAAGCTCAGCTACGGTGCAGGCTCCGCGAGACAGACCTTCTTCCTCTTCGGGTCCCTGGTGTTTCCCAAGAACCCACTCACATGCTGGGCACATAGTAGGTGCACAGTTAGTAGCTGCTGATGAATGAATGATGATAAAGGGCCAGACCTGGCCGGTGTGGCTCAGTGGTTGAGCATCGACCCGTGAACCAGGAGGTCACGGTTCGATTCCTGATCAGGGCACACGCCCAGTTTGTGGGCTCCATCCCCAGTGGGGGAGCGTGCAGGAGGCAGCCGATCAATGATTCGCTCTCTCTTCCTTCCTCTCTGAAATCAATAAAAATATATATTTTAAAAAATAGTCCCATTAATATCATTTTAAAAATCAAAATAATTGGGCCTTATCAGTTGATTTCGAGAGTTGGCACATACCTTTTGCCCCTTCCTTTAAAAATCCACAATGCTACTTCTCCCACCCCTATGTTGTAATGCACAGCTTTAAATGGTAAAATGAAAAGCATCTGCAATTTCCTTATTTACCCATTTTGCACACAGGAGGTCTCAGCATCCAAGGTCAGTTACTATCAACTGCAGTAAGAGTTCTTCGAATGAAGGTGGATCATTCACTGAGATCTCACACCAGGTCAGCACCAAGAATTTGGGATCATAAATTTCAGCTTACAGCTCTAATACAAGTTAAGTTTGTAGCTTCTCTAACCCTGACTGTGGCAATGTTTAGCCCATTTCTTCCCTTTTCCCCCTACTCAATTAATAAAACAAGTTCCAAATCAGAAATACGTAACTTCACATAGATATATACAGAACTGCTAAATATACCTGCTTCTGCCATTTCAGAGGAGAGTTAATAGGGACATTGTTTACAAACGAGGAGATACCACCAGCCTAAAAACAAAATTTCCTCACACCACCACAAAGTGGTCTAATCTTTTGGACAAAGAAGAAAAGGAAATAGCTAATTTGAAGCTTCCAAAAAGACAAAAACAGCAGGGCAAGCCACAACCACCCCCAGAATAGGAATACAAGCTCCATGAGGACCATGCCCTCTCCCTTGATTACCACTATCCCCTTTAATACTTAACATGGTACTTGTAACTGCAAGGGCTTACTATTTCTTGAATGAATGAATGACTGCGATCATTGTTTATCACTTACTTTTCTTGAGGAACTTTACTAAAGCTCTTACCAAAGTAACAAGCCTTTAAAACGACAAGAACTAGGGGTGGGGTGGAGAAAGGACACTTTGAGCCTCACAATAAGCCTCTGAGGGGGACAATATAATCAGTATATTTCTCTCTCCTTTTTTAAAAATTTTACAGGCAAGGAAATTGAGGTTCAGAAAGACTGACCTTCCCAAGATGACAAAGTTCTAAATGGCTGAGCCAGGAGTCTGTCTTCCTCCCCCTCTGTCACATCAAAACCAAAATGAAGTTTAGAGCCAGGAAAACAACAGGACACGGAGAAGACAGTCTGGCCAAACGCTGTAGTACCTAAACATTCACATATGCGGTACATTTGGGAAACTCCCTATGCCCATATTGCAGAAGCACAGCCAATGAGGCCTACTGTTCTGTTTCTAACCCGCAACACTTCACTGTGGGTTTCTTCTAAGTGCAGGTGCCCCGTTTCAAAAAGCGACTGGTGTACATACAGAATGGACTCAAGAGCTGAAAGCTCCAAGTTAAAAGCCAGAAATAAAGATCTTAATCTTCTTCCATTACAAGCTACCTGTATTCCCTTCCCGGAAAATCTGGCTGACCACAACAGGCATGCAAAGGAACTGTCCAAGTAAGTGAAGTGCTCGCACCCTCCAGCAAAGCCTTGTCCCTGTCGTGACATCAGCAACCCTGTCACATCTTCGCTGTTCTGTGTGTGCCCCTCCAAAGGTGCACTCGGGCACTACCTAAGAGTATCAGGCTTCCTTCTAAAAACGTGAAGCAGAATTGAATAGTGGATTTATTTTTTTTTAACTCCGGGCTGAGAACGGAAGTCAAGTTCAGATTCTCTTCCTTCCTCAAGCGAGCAACAGGATTAAAGAGCGAGACACACACACACACACACACACACACACACACACACACACACACGCCCTACAGTAAAAATGTCTCTGTGGCCGCTTCACCTGTGGCCATGGACTCAGCCAGTCCGGATTTGCTGGGCTTTCAGGCTCTTCCCTCGGGCGGGGGGTGAGGGGAGCGCTGGGAAGAATGAACTGGTGCCTAAGTTTTCAATCGGATCATTCTTCTCAACTTGGGCAGCTCTACCCCCTCCCTCCCCCTCCGGCCCGGGCGCACACACGAGGCTTTGCCAGCGCGGGCACCAGGAACAGGCAGAGGGTAGCTAACATTTAGTAAGCTCATTTTATAACTCAGACACTGTTTATAGACATACATACTTACATATAAGTATGTAATATGTATTACATACATAATAGGTAAATAGAGAGAGATATCTTACTGTATAAGTATGGGTAGGCACTATAACCCCAGCTTAAATATGCAGAAACTGAGGCTCACAGAAGTCAAATGACTTATTCTAGACCACGTGGGAAGTAATTTGAGGAGCCAGGATGTGAATCTAGGTCTACCCAATGCAAAGCCAATCACTATATTATAAACTAATTCCATTTCCTAGAAAGAGCTGTTAAATGAGTTGAGGCAGACTCAGCAGGCCAGGGGTTATGGTGGCAGGCAGGAGTGAGTGGTAAACCATGGCCATTCAGAAAACAGAAACTTCCAAAAGGATTTGGGATCCAGGCCCACTGAAAATGGGATACTATGATCAAGGGTTCATATATTTTTAGGCCTGAAGCAAAAAAAAATGGAGATCTAATGGAACCAGAATTCCAGAATGAAACTGCATAGTCATAATCAACTGTGTGATTACTACATCCTAAAAATGATGACTGGCAAATCCTGTCCACCTACAATCAAAGTATGTGCAGACAGATGTTTACTATGTAGGAGGAGGATAGTGCTTTTACTATAATCCCTGCCAAAAGCTTCATAAACATAAATAAACAGTATCTAAAAATGTACTAACAGCCCTGGCCTATGTGGCTCAGTTGGTTGAAGTGTTGCCCAGTACACCAAAGGGTTGTGGGTTCAATTTCCTGTTTGGGCACATACCCAGGTTGTGGGCTCTATCCCCAGTTGGGGTGCATATGGAAGGCAACTGATGTTTCTCTCTCATATTGATGTTCTCTCTCTCTCCCTCTCTCTCTCTCTTTTTTTCCCTCTGAAATCAATGAAAACATATCCTCCTGTGAGGATTAAAATAAATAAATATACAAATGTATTAATAAATTTCTTATTGGGATACAAAATCCTTACTATTAATATTCAACTTATCCAAGATGGAAAATTGCAGCGGTTCAACTTCTTCAACTACAACCAGACCAAACTTTTCTAAGCTTTCCCTAGCTAATAATCTGCTTTTCTAGGATAAGTAGTTATTTATACCTACTGACAGTGAGTAACTAATAACTAATATTACCCTGTCCTGGCGGCCACACTGCCCAAGAAGACATGAAACCATTCTATAAACTCTAAACAACTACAAATAAATATTATTAACTTCTAGTGAAGTCATTAAGTTTGTATGCTTGCAATGCAGATCACAACTGACTCAAACAGTGAGAACAAACCTTCTAAAGTTTAATAGAATGTAGATTTACTACATCCTTGGAAGAACTGTTTGATTTGTAATATTCATTATCACAAAATCTAATATCAATCAGTTAAGTAAAAAAATTTGAAATATACTTAGAAATTCCATAATAGTCCCATTAGCCCGGCTGGTATTGCTCAGTGGTTGAGCGTCAACCTATGAACCAGGAGGTCATGGTTCGATTCCCAGTCAGGGCACAGGTCCAGCTTGCCAGCTCAATCCCCAGTGGGGGAGCGTGCAGGAGGCAGCCGATCAATGATTCGCTCTCTCTTCCTTCCTCTCTGAAATCAATAAAAATATATATTTTAAAAAATAGTCCCATTAATATCATTTTAAAAATCAAAATAATTGGACCTTATCAGTTGATTTTGAGAGTTGGCGTATACCTTTTGCCCCTTCCTTTAAAAATCCACAATGCTTCTTCTCCCACCCCTACGTTGTAATGCACAGCTTTAAATGGTAAAATGAAAAGCATCTGCAATTTCCTTATTTACCCATTTTGCACACAGGAGGTCTCAGCATCCAAGGTCAGTTATTATCAACTGCAGTAAGAGTTCTTCGAATGAAGGTGGATCATTCACTGAGATCTCACACCAGGTCAGCACCAAGAATTTGGGATCATAAATTTCAGCTTACAGCTCTAATACAAGTTAAGTTTGTAGCTTCTCTAACCCTGACTGTGGCAATGTTTAGCCCATTTCTTCCCTTTTCCCCCTACTCAATTAATAAAACAAGTTCCAAATCAGAAATACGTAACTTCACATAGATATATACAGAACTGCTAAATATACCTGCTTCTGCCATTTCAGAGGAGAGTTAATAGGGACATTGTTTACAAACGAGGAGATACCACCAGCCTAAAAACAAAATTTCCTCACACCACCACAAAGTGGTCTAATCTTTTGGACAAAGAAGAAAAGGAAATAGCTAATTTGAAGCTTCCAAAAAGACAAAAACAGCAGGGCAAGCCACAACCACCCCCAGAATAGGAATACAAGCTCCATGAGGACCATGCCCTCTCCCTTGATTACCACTATCCCCTTTAATACTTAACATGGTACTTGTAACTGCAAGGGCTTACTATTTTTTGAATGAATGAATGACTGTGATCATTGTTTAAAACTTACTTTTCTTGAGGAACTTTATGAAGCTCTTACCAAAGTAACAAGCCTTTAAAACGACAAGGACTAGGGGTGGGGTGGAGAAAGGACACTTTGAGCCTCACAATAAGCCTCTGAGGGGGACAATATAATCAGTATATTTCTCTCTCCTTTTTTAAAAATTTTACAGGCAAGGAAATTGAGGTTCAGAAAGACTGGCCTTCCCAAGATGACAAAGTTCTAAATGGCTGAGCCAGGAGTCTGTCTTCCTCCCCCTCTGTCACATCAAAACCAAAATGAAGTTTAGAGCCAGGAAAACAACAGGACACGGAGAAGACAGTCTGGCCAAACGCTGTAGTACCTAAACATTCACATATGCGGTACATTTGGGAAACTCCCTATGCCCATATTGCAGAAGCACAGCCAATGAGGCCTACTGTTCTGTTTCTAACCCGCAACACTTCACTGTGGGTTTCTTCTAAGTGCAGGTGCCCCGTTTCAAAAAGCGACTGGTGTACATACAGAATGGACTCAAGAGCTGAAAGCTCCAAGTTAAAAGCCAGAAATAAAGATCTTAATCTTCTTCCATTACAAGCTACCTGTATTCCCTTCCCGGAAAATCTGGCTGACCACAACAGGCATGCAAAGGAACTGTCCAAGTAAGTGAAGTGCTCGCACCCTCCAGCAAAGCCTTGTCCCTGTCGTGACATCAGCAACCCTGTCACATCTTCGCTGTTCTGTGTGTGCCCCTCCAAAGGTGCACTCGGGCACTACCTAAGAGTATCAGGCTTCCTTCTAAAAACGTGAAGCAGAATTGAATAGTGGATTTATTTTTTTTTAACTCCGGGCTGAGAACGGAAGTCAAGTTCAGATTCTCTTCCTTCCTCAAGCGAGCAACAGGATTAAAGAGCGAGACACACACACACACACACACACACACACACACACACACACACACAC